AGGAGGAAAGGCATGAAACTGTCGAACGCACCGCTAATCGACTAGTTTTACCGCAAATACGCCTTTTCGAATTTAAGGGGTGATATATATGAAGAACGCAAACACTCATCAAGCGTTGCTATATGATTAATTACACACAAGTGGTGTATGATGTTGAGCATGATTTATGCAGCAATAAATAGCATGTTGTCAAGTATTTGCACGTAAGAAAATAATAAATGCAGTATTTAAATAATTGAAGGGACAATTACAGAAAAGAAAATAAGGAGACAAGTCAATTTCAGGAAAAGAAATCATAAATGCTTGAAAATAGACAGTTAAATTCAAATAATGGAAAGGGTGCGGGATAAGGCATTCTTGGACTAATTCACAAAAGATAAGTTCGTTATGGTAAGAGACTAAAATATCCCCTGCATAGTCTCCATGCTATTGCGCCCCCTTTTGTCCCTTTTTGATGGGAAGTTCGGGTTTCGACATTCATGGGGGGAAATAACTCGTTTCCTTTTGGGAATTGGGTATTTGAAGAGTCACCACCTAACAGATTATGGTGCGTTAGGGTATCTTAGAGTGATTAACTCATGGACTAGATTACATTACCAGAGATTAGGGTAAGGGCTCGAAATAACCTTGAGACGAAGGTGTTAGGCACCCCTCACGGTCCACAACGGTGGGTCCCGACCGAACTTAAACTATGTGAATTAGTCATGTTAACAAATAAATAGTTTTAACACATATTTGCAAATAAATACATGTTTTTGACATTCTAAGAACATGTATGATTCAAGTAATGAAAGTAAGGGAAAGGGTTTGAGCAACACGTATGTAAAGAAAGTAAATTCATTTAAATAATGGAAGTTGAAAAAGGGGTCCTAGGTTGGTTATCCTACAGGATTATACTCACACAATGCTCGGTAATCACTCGTCAATGAGGGGTTACACATGACAATAGTGTGTAGTCATCATATCCTTACTACCCAATTCCCTCCCTTTGGTCATAGCCTAAAGCGTTCTAGCAACCTTGAAAGATGTCTTATGCGTGCACTACCTGTCCCTTTCTGGTGGCCCTAGAGGTATTTAGGACCTCTAATTAGGTGGTTCTAGACCATTCTAAGGTACTTAAAGGAGAAAAATCTAGGTGTCAATCAAAACGGTTAGGACTGCATTAAAGAGAACAATTAAAGGCTCACATTTTACCTCCACAAACAGAACAAGTAACTGTATGTCTCAAGTTTCAGGTATTTAGGAGAAAACTAGGCGAGCAGAGAATATACAATACTGACTTTGGACCAAAGTGTCAAAGACCTATTCAGCTTGTCTACTGATTTTAGACTTGTTAATTATGAGCAATCACAAATAATGAACATAGTTTTATAGTTGCGGAATTTTTAATCGTCCTATAGGCTTGCCTAGGCGTATAATAATGATGTCCTATGAGCATGATATCTATTATTGATTAGGAATCGGTAAACAATTTAAACGGGTAATTTGCATCCTATAGGCATGCTTTCTAGTGATATTGATTAACACAAAAATAGTAGGTTATTAAACTGATTCGGAACTTACCAGTGTAAACTTAGAGTTAAACTAATTTTAGGTCTAACTAAATTGGTTTTAGATCGTATAGGCATGATTTCTATTTGAACATAAGGTGAAGCAAGCAGAATTTATTTGACCAAAGCGAAATCCCTATAGGCATGATTTCTATTATAGCTGATTTTAAATCATATAGGCATGATATCTAATTATTAAAAAGATGATTTAGATCCTATATGCATGACTTCTGATTGTGCGAAAGTAAAGCATGCAGAATTTGTCTAAACCAAAGTAGATCCTATAGGCATATTACCTAACAAACACATTTCAATCGAAATAGACTCTATAGGCATGTTATCTACCCGGTTTTACCCACAATATGCAACTATCCACCCTTTTTCACTAATCACCCCAATATTTGTTTACAATAATTATTACAGAGAAAGAACTGAATATAAATTACATAAATAAAATAGAAGCTAAACTATAGGGAGCCTGAAGCAGGCCCAAAACAGTCATGGTGTACCAAGCCCTTACTGGTTTCAAATGCCCAAAGTTCCATGGCCCAATTCATGTCTAGGTGTGTAAGAGTTCCTTAAGGACCTTAAGGATCCCGGGCAGTGCTCACACCCAGACATTCCTCAAACAAGGATTGATTATGTGCAGTGTGAAAGTGTCAACCCTGATATGCCAGAGTTCAGAGAGATCTCAAGGGTCTCAAAGCAGGACACATATCAGAGGGTCGAGACTTAGTAATCTAACAATAATGTGAGAGTGCATAATAATTGGAAAGAGTTTGTTAAGAAGTAGCAAGAGGTCCTTAGGAATGAAAAAGGATTTTCTGAAACCAGCACATAGTTAAGGTGGAAAACAGTTTGAGAAAATATGAAGAACATTTGAGATCAGGGAACAAGTCACATAACACACAGTTTCAGAAAAATATTTTGGACAAACAGACTCTACATAGGGGGAGAGAGGGATTGGGGAGACACATAAACCTAGTGATGGCAGACAAATACACAGATTCCTCAAGAAGTTATAGAATTGGCAAGTTAGTTACAAAGATATGTTGAGAACACTCAGGTCTTAGACACAAACAGGATCTCATTGGTGAAGTAGAGCAAGTTAGACTTAGATGAACAAACTATACAAATACTTCATGAAGCATTCAAAGTTTAGAAATACATATAGAACAAGCAGAATTTAGACATGTTGGGTGATACAGTAAACAAATAATGCATCTTAGACATACTAGGTAACACATAGGATTCATGCAATTATCTAAAGTAGGATTGGGCATGCCAAATAATATACTAGTTATACCTCTTAATAGAACAATCTTAAACATGCTGTGTGATACAGTAATCTAGGCATGCTGACTGCATATTGAATAGAATAGCAAATAGAACTAGAAATCACAACTAATGAACTGCAACAACAAAGAAAATACGTAGTTTTGGAATATGAATTGAATCAGGACATACCAGCTAAGGAGAGAACACAAAGTATAGAGCAGAGATGGTGCAAGTAGCTAGCCTTGGCTTACAGTCGGCTGGATTAGTGAGAAGTACAAGTAACAGAAGAGAATAGAGAGCTTTTGAGAGTGTGAAAGTGTAGATGAACTAGTGTTCATGTCCATAAGTGAGGAGTAAAGGAGAGTATATATAATAGTTGAGAGCAAGGAAAATAAGGTAAAGGAAATCAACCCTTCTGCAATTAAGGAAGCCACAAAATCAATTATACACCAATTAGTATAACTTTCCCTTAAATAAGGGTAATTAACCAATGGTAAAGGCAGACTATATGTAAGGAAAGAAAATCAAACGAGCAATTAGGGGTAAATAGACAGAAGTTTAATTAAGGAAATGATCAGTAGAGAATCAGTGAATATCACGGTTAATTGAATAAGGTAGGAAAGCTAATCAAGATTGTAAATAATGGGAATAGTCAGGAATTAGACATAGGTCTTAACAAAACAAACTGATAAATCAAGAATCCAAATTAATCACTAATTTAAGGAGAAAAGTATAGGTTTACCATGAATAGGCAAAAAATGAACATAGACATATAGAATTAGTAGGAAAGTCGAATCAAGAACATCGATAGAGGCACATTAGGATAAAAAATCAAATGACATCGAATCAGGCTAAAGAAGAATCATAGAAACCAAAACATAGGACAAAGTCAGTACATAAGTAACCTAGACAAACTTAGAATCCAAACAATAATATCGCAAAATTAGGGCTTTTAGCATAACCGAGTTTGGGTTAAAGCAAACCTCATGAAATCGGTTAAAACACGCAAAAAACAGAACATTAAACACTCAAAATCACCAAACATTTTAGAGAAAGAAATTTTCAGGAAACCCTAGTCATAGAAGTCAAAAACTTGAAGTATTGTAGTGTTTAAAATCGTTCAGTAGTAGAGGAGTAAGAGAAACTTAAAGAAAAATTATAGAAACTTTGAAAACACTTCAAGTATGCAGAGATCCAAATGGGTAGATAGCAAAGAACCCAAAATATAGTGCTAAAATTGGTTGACAATAAAGAAACAAGAGATCTTTAAAGAAAAGTCATTGACAAACTTAGAATCCTTCCAGAAAGTAGGGTTTTGAGGAGAAAGGGGAGGGGTAGAGAGAACCTGGTTTTGGACCAGAGATTTGAATCATGAAACTTCAATAGAAATTACTCGCAAACCATGAACGAACCCTTGAAGAGCTTTGAACGAGATCTGGACCAGATCTCTTCGAAGTTCTTCCACAAAAACCACATAATCGAACAACCAAGGGGATAGGAGACAAGTAGAGGCTTCGTACAACCATAGGATGCCATACATCGGACAAGGATTCAAAGGATTAGGGCCGATTTTGGATGACAGAGATTAGGGTTAGGGGTTGGTTTCAGAGAGAACCAAAGAGAAAAGGATCCAAAGGCGGCTGTTGGTGAGAAATGTTTAGGTTTTGGGGTCGTTCGAAACTTAAAAAGAAAGGGCTAATTCTGGTCGTTGATCTCCGTGATCAACGGACGAGATTGAAAGGGTTTGGGGCCGGATCAGATATTAGGTTTGGGTTGGGTATTTTTTGGGTTAAAATTGGGCTGAGTATTGGGTCCAATTTAGAATCAAAATTGAATAGAAAATGGGGCCAAATTTTAAATAGCCAATTTTAACAACTAAATAATTTATAAAAAACAATAAATGAGTACCAAAATGTCTTTGTGCACTAAAATAATTTAAAATAGTTATTTAATATTTTAAAAAATATAAAATATCATTTTATGCATAAATAATGTAATTATACATTAGTACGGGCTATTTTTGCAAAAATGTTCAATTTAATTTAAAATATAAATGTACTTACAAAAAATACACTAAAAATATTTAAATACTACATTGGCATAAATAATGAATTTAGGTGACTAAATCATGATAAAAGCAGTACGAAGGATAATTATTGGATATTTATGTAATAAAAAAATGAGAAATAAATTAATTTGGAGCCTTTAAAACTATAAAAAAATATAAAAAATGTTTATGCATGATTATAACTGCATATGTACTATTTTAAAAGTATATATAGGTATTAAAAATATGTGAGGGAAAATTGGGTATCAATAGGCATGGCTTCGGCCTCGACCTCTACCCCTCGTAGAAACTGCCACTGGGGGCTCTATCTGTTGCTCGGCTGAAGATATAGTGCATGTTCTCTCCATCTGCAAGAGAATAGAATAGAAGGATTCAATCAGCAATGATAGAATAAAAATCACTCGACAGAGAAGAATAGAAGTGAAATTATTCCTAACTTCATAGCCTCTAGAAGATAAGTATAGACTTATCCATACTGATCCTCTAGACTCTACTAAGCTTTCTCGTGACTCATGAGACCTATGTAACCTAGTGCTCAGATACCAACTTATCATAATCCGAAATTCCCATCGTCGGGACCGTGATGGCGTCGAACATTTCACTTGTTAGGCAAGCCAACGTTAGAACAATTTACTTCTTTTAACAGTTTAAATGATAACATTAATAAAGAAATGAAATAACTGAAATATTCTAAGTGTAAATGCGGAAGCTAAACAAGACAAACATTTATTACAAATCTCTGAACCTGGTGTCACAAATGCACGAGCTTCTAGAGTAATACATATAAGGGTTTAAAATAAATACAAAGTTGTTTGAATCGAAATATACATCTAAATAGAAAGACTCCAGGAGCTGTGAGCACTGAACAGTCGTACCTCAAGTCTCCAAAATTGTCCAATCCGAGCATGCTAATAACCGCCGCTGGGACCGACTCCAAAATCTGCACAGTGTGCAGAGTGCAGTATCAGTACAACCGACCTTATGTGTCACACCTCCTTTCTACCCGAAAAGGGGTATAAGGGAGTTTTTTTCAATTTAAGTGACATTATTTGAAATGGGATTATTTTATTTATTTAGAGTCGCCACTTGGAATATTTATTATGGTGTCCCAAGTCACTGATTTATTTTAAAAATTCCAAATCGAGGAAATTTTACTTCATTTAAAAAGTCTGCGAAACCATAAAAACTAGGTAAGGAATTGTGTTAACCCGGGAGAGGGTATTAGGCATTCTTGGGTTCCGTGATTCTAGCATGGTCGCTTAACTATTAATAATTGGCCTAATTATATGATTTATTACATGTTTTACACCTTTTGTGCATTTTTAACTTTATAACCGCTTTTAATTATTTTAAACCACTTTTAGGATTTATGGAATTATTTCTTGAACAAGTTACGATTGTCGTAGACTTGCCATTTTGGAACACGTTGCAAACCATGCTACATGAAATGCACCCGCGATTTGCGATATGTTTATTTTATTATTGTTCAAAGTTGTGGTCGGGTCACATGAAATGCACACCCGAATGGGGTTTATGTATCATGACTATGCCACGGAAACTGTACCCATAATCACGATGATTTATTATTAATCGCGCCTAAAGCCAGCTTCGATGTTTATAAGTTTAAATATTTTCCTAAATTTAAGGTCAAGTGCAAAGGCCCAGAAATTATGGAATGATTTTGTTCTAGAGTGGAAATGAAATTTTTATTTATGAGCTTCGCAGCATTCAGGATTCATTTGAAGCCTATTAATACAATGGATGAAAGCGCAGACTTGTTAATCAAAACATGCTCTACTTGGAATTGTTCAGCAATGCACCAATTATTGAATGACTTAGCGAAATGATAAGTTATAAGCAATTAGCAGCCCACAAAAGACCTCTGACAGGTCCTGACAAATTCTGATTGTTGGGCCACATGTGCAAAACATGCCCATTACATATTGTTACTATCCAAATGAAAACTATAGGTCATTGAATAACCTAAATCCCCAATCAAACTAATAATGCATCTGAAGTAGAATTCATAAATACATGCTTTATCCATAAATCCAATAAACAAACCATCATTCTTATGGATACAACATTAACAGATTACCTCTACTTGTATTAGTTATACCCACTTCATTGAAACACTTAATTCTCACACCTTTAGATAGTGATACAAATCAGATTGACATAGAGCATATATCACATTTTATGGATAACAAAGTCCAATTGATTCACAAATTCAATGATTAACATTTCAATCATTCTGAAATTGAGTTGAAATAGCAGCTCAAAGAAAAAACAAACATACCTAATTAACGAGATGCCATAGAAGAGAGGACGGCAGACAAACAGCTTCGGCAACAAACAACATCAGTTCCCAAACTTCAAATGTTTAGCAAATCAATTCATCTCCCAAACTCTTTCCAAATTTCATTTTCCCTTTTCTTTTCAGAACGTTTTATTCTCCAAATCTCTCTTATTTTATTTTATTTTTATTTCTGAAACTTCGTTTTGTTTAGCCTCCAGTGAGTGAGATGGAACAAATTTTTTAGACTATGAGGGAGCATGTGTGAGAGAAAGATGAGAGAAAAGAAAAGGAGGCGGATTAGGGTTGGATATAAAGGGAAGTCCGATTCTCAATTAGAAAAGGGGAAATTAGAACGCCGAAGATGAGAGAATGAGAGAGTCGTTCTTGTTTTTGCTTGCTTCTCCTTGAAGATTATAGAAGGTCAGAAAATAAGAGTGAAGAAGAAGAAGAAAGGGAGGTATTGTGGTGCTAAGGTTTTTAGAGATTTGGGGGAGGGTCGTTCGTTTTTTCAAAGGGGAGGGTCTGTTCTTGGTGATGGTGAAAATGGAGAAAAAGAAGGAATCCCCAGAAGGGTCGTTTGTAGTTTTAGAGAGAGAGGGATTAGGTCTGATCTTTTAGGTCTCTCCTCTTTAATGTGAGGGATCTCCCTGTTATGAGGAAATTAGGGATTATTTTAAAGTGCATGGAAAAGCGAAATGGGCTAGGCGGTCGAAAGATTGTGGTTTTGGGCCGCTGGAATTCTGGGCCTCAATTGTGATGATCCAAAAGGTCATCACTTGTTTTAAAAATAAATTCTGCATTCTGAGGCCTTAAAAACCTCTTTCGGCATCACCTCGATTTGTGTGTGCAGTCCGGGCACGTAACAGGAAAGCCATTTTGGGAAAATCTATGAAAAATGATAGATTTTGCCTTTAAAATGAGTTTGAGTTTACTTCGATCAACATTTTGTGTAAACAGATTCGGACCAGTGATTTGACGGTACTGGAGGGTCCGTAGGAAAATATGGAACTTGGGCGTATGCCCGGAATCAACTTCTGAGGTCCCGAGCCTGAGAAATGAATTTTTGAAAGAAATTATTTTGCTGAATTAATTATGAAGTAAAGAAGAGAATTTATGTTTGAAATCATTGGTATCGGGCCTGTATTTTGATTCCGGAGCTCGGTACAGGTCTTATATATGATTTGAGTCGAACTTGTGAAATTTGGTAAGAAAAGTACTTGAAATGATGTGAATCGGACCTTATTTGAGAAAATTGGAAAATTTGATGTTCTTAAGTAATTTCATGATTTTGATGCTAAATTCATAGTTGTTGATGTTATTTTGGTGATTTGAATACATGAGCAAGTCCGTATGAAGTTTTTAGGTTGGTGTACATGTTTGGTTTGGAGCTCCGGGGGCTCAGGTGAGTTTTGGATAGGCCACGGGATGGAATTTGGACTTAGGAAAATTATAGGTTTTCAGCTGGTATGATCAGGTCGGCAGGCTTCGCAAATGTGAAGCCTGGCTCGCAAATGCGAGAATTCCATTGCAAATGCGAACAAAGTCCTGGGCAGGCCTGATCGCAAATGCGACTATTTGGCTCGCAAATGCGGAAGGCCCCAGTCGCAAATGCGAACCCCTCATAAATAAGGGGTGGTCGCAAATGCGATAAATTTTTAGCAAATGCAAAAGTCTCAGAATTCTGAAGGATTTGCAATTGCGAACCCTGGTCGCAATTGCGACATCGGAGACCTGTAAATTCATAACTTAGACGCATTTCAACCATTTTTCAAACTCTTTCAAAACCAAAACACTCTATGGCGACTTTTTCAAAGGCAATTTCTTCTCCCAATCAATTGTAAGTGATTTCTAATTAGTTTTCTTCAATCTTTAACCTCTTTTCACATGAATTCAACTCGAAATCAATGATTTTCATGGAGGAAATTAGGTGTTTTGGGTAGAACCTAAGTTTTTCAAAAATTGGGGATTTGGACCTCGATTTGAGGTTCGATTTCAAAACAAATTATATATTTGAGTTTGTGGGGGAATAGGTAATTGGGTTTTGGTTCGAACCTCAGGTTTTGACCATGTGGGTTCGGGGGCGATTTTTGACTTTTTGGGTAAAACTTTGGAAAACTCATTTTCATGCATTAGAATTGATTCATTTAGCATTTATTGACATAATTAAGTAACTTGTGGCTAGATACGAGCAAATTAGTGGTGGAATCAAGAGGTAAAGCGATAGTACAGACTTGAATTGTGTTCGCGACATCGAGGTAAGTGTTTGGTCTAACCTTAGCTTGAGGGATTAGGAGTTGAGTCATATTTGCTATGTGGTATTTGTCGAGTACGACGTATAGGCATGGTGACGAGTATCTATACGTTGGTGTCAAGCATGCCCGTTAGTCTTATATTGTGGTTATTATGACTTCGTTGTATAATTCATGCTTTGGTGATGATTTCTATTGTTGGGCAATATTTGTGGAAGTAATTGTGACATTTGAATATTGAGGAGAGTTAGCTCAAGTTGTATAATGAAATGTAAAAATATAAGTGGTAATACCTTTTAGAGCATTGGCTCAAGTTGTGAAGTGAGTTGAGAAGTAAAAGTGGAAAAGAGAAGAGAATCATTATATTATCCCCCTTGCCGGGAATTTGTTGCTTTTAATGCTATCTCCCTAGCCGGGATGTGATGCTTCTTATGATGTTGTTCCTTTGCCGGCACTTGATTATTAAACTATTGTTCCCTTGCTGGAATTCTTATTGTAACTTCATTTATTCCCTTGCCCTATTGTTTGTGATTGTTGTTTGGGTGAAGAAGAGTGTTAAAGCACGAAGGGTGATGCCATGTATGATTTGTGAGGAAAGAGTATAAAGCACGAAGGGTGATGTCGTGCCGCACAATGTATCATTCCGTGCTGATTATATTGATTATATGGTGAGGACGAGAGTAAAAGCACGAAGGGTGATGCCGTGCACATTTTCATTACTTGATTTCTTTGGTGAGGATGAGAGTAAAAGCATGAAAGGTGATGTCGTGCACATTTTCATTACTTGATTGCTTTGGTGAGGGCGAGAGTAAAAGTACGAAGGGTAGTGTCTTGCACTTATTGATTTGTGATTCTTTGTTGACATCTGAGATATGTTGTTTCTTTCAATTACCTATTGTCTTTCTATTCTAAATTGATAGTTCCCCCGCAGCATGTTACCCCTCCCATACTTGACTGTATATTATTGTTCTTCTTTTCTGTTATATATAGTTGAATTGCACAGGTTTATTTGGCAGTCTGGTCCTAGCCTCGTCACTACTTTGCCGAGGTTAGGCTAGGCACTTACCAGTACATGGGATCGATTGTGCTGATACTACACTCTGTACTGTGTGTCGATCCCGGAGCAGCAGCTTTTGGACCGTAGATTGGGTGGCTGCCTTCAGTCCCCGCGGAGATCCAGGGTAGTCCTGCAGGCGTCCGCAGGCCCTGGCATCTCCCTCTATCCCTTTACTCTTGTTTCATTGCTTAGTTCAGAAATATGTATCTTTTATCTTTCGGACTTTGTATGTAGTATTCTTATATTGTCTGTGAAACTGTGATACCAGTTCTGGGTGGTCGAGGCTCAAACAATTGTATTAGATACATATTTCAGGTAGTTTACTGCATTTCTTCCGCTTATTGTAATTTTCGCTGTCTACACGTTATTGCTTTATAATTGTTAAAGAATATAAAATTAGTAAAAAGATAATTTTTTCAAACAGTCGGCTTACCTAGCTCACATTAGTAGGCGCCATCACAACTCCCGACGGTGGGAAATCCGGGTCGTGACATCAATAAGCAAACCTATTTTCCTTTGCAAGATTAACCCTATTCAAAGATCAATTAAATCATGTTCTTTTCAAATTAGCCTCTTAGTTTAATACTCCAATTTTGCATCACTAAGCCACTAAAATTGTGAATCAATTTAAACTAATTAATTTGAACATCCAAAGAAAACGACCAATGTAGTATTTCTTTTTGTGATTTTGCTTGATAATGCAATTAACTCAATATAATTAATTCCTAAATGCAAATTAAACCTAAGATAGCATGAAATTAAAATCTGACAATTTTTATGGTTTTTTCTATGAATTCAATATATTAAACATGCATGAAATGCAACTAAATAAAGAAAAACTCCTAAAATCTATTACAATTATTTTTGGTCTATTTTTAGGAGTTATTTTCATGTGGGGCAAAAATTAGTTGCTCACAGCTGCCCCTCTTTGCTCAGAAACATGAAGAGTTTTTGGGCAAAGATAAAGTGAGCAAATAGGAGCAATTTTTGCTCGTTTAAAACTCCATGGGAAGCATTTTTGAATAAGTTTGACTGAACCTTGCTTCGGAGGTTGCCTACATATCCTTGGCTATAAAGAAATCAGGTCGATGTAGTTCTTGAAATTTTGGTAGCTGGGACTACCGAGAAGCTGTGATTTCACTGATGTTGTTGTTGTTGCTTATTGTTGAGCTTCTTATTACACAAAAATCAAAAATGAAAAAGACTAACTAAGCCTATCAGCTACGAGTTACAAGATTCCTATCTACCGGTCTTTTGAAGCTTGATCTTGAGTCTTGGTTGGTTCTTCATGCATACTTTGATCTGAATCTTGATTCTTGCTAGCTGCAGGCGCTAGTTGATTCTTCTTCAGCTTTTTGGATCAAGGCGGGACATGCAAATCTTGCGACTTCAATCATATCTTGAGCAGTCCACATCTTTTCTCTGCTTCTGCGCTTTGAGTTCACTTCTTTTTCTTTTCTTCTTTTTCTTTTATTCTGGATTGAGACTTCTTCATTTAGTCGTTTCGAACACTATGTCTTGTGGTATAACCTGCTCAGACACCAAAACAAATGAAACGAACGAAATGTTTTTGCCCTAGTTTTCACTAGGAAAATTTCGTAAGTTATTTGTAGCCAAAACTCTATATCTAGAATGATATCAACTAGGAATTAGAGAGCCTATTATTGGAAAATCATCAACTAGGGAGTGGTGACCCTATGTTGGCATCAGGTTATGTTGACATCAACTAGGGAGTGGAGACCCTATGTTGGCATTAACTAGGGAATGGTGACCTTATGTTGGCATCAGGTTATGCTGGCATCAACTAGGGAGTGGTGACCCTACGTTGGCATCAACTAGGGAGTGGTGACCCTATGTTAGCATCAGGTTATGCTGGCATCAACTAGGGAGTGGAGACCCTATGTTGGAAAATTCATCAGGTTATGCCAGCATCAACTAGGGAGTGGGACCCTATGTTGGAAAAGTCATCGGGTTATGCCGGCATCAATTAGGGAGTGGGACCCTATGTTGGAAAAGTCATTGGGTTATGCTGGCATCAACTAGGGAGTGGGACCCTTTGTTGGAAAAGTCGTCGGGTTATGCCGGCATCAACTAGGGAGTAGGACCCTATGTTGGAAAATCATCGAGTTATGTCGGCATCAACTAGCAAGTGGAACCCTATGTTGGAAAAGTCATCGGATTATGCCGGCATCAACTAGGGAGTGGGACCCTATGTTGGAAAATCATCGGGTTATGCCGGCATCAACTAGGGAGTGGGACCCTATGTTGGAAAAGTCATCGGGTTATGCCGGCATCAAATAGGGAGTAGGACCCTATGCTGGAAAAGT